CCAGACGGCTGGTGGTTCAAACCCACCAGCCACTCCTCGGAAGGAAGGTTGGGCAATCCTACTTCCGTAGTGATAACTGCCTCGGAAACCCAAGGAAGGGTCGCTATGAGTCAGGGCCGACTCGACGGCACATAACAACAACAACAACAACAACAACATAGCATTTTGGTGGCAATTAGAGTTATTGATATTTCTGAACTTCATTTGAGATTTTACTGTAACTTTAGCAAAAAAAAAAAAGGCTTATGATATGGTTTTGGAAATAATAGTTTTACAATCTTAACATTATTAAGTAAAACAGTGCCATGAATTTAAACTCAATCCTTATTTAAAATTCAGTCAGGATAAATTGCTCTTGATCAAAATACTGATATGTTTAAAATATATTTAATATTGACCCAATTCAATTAGCAAAATATATTGCCCCATTTATAATCAATAATTTGAGATTAACACTTTTATTAATTCTTTACAGTAGTTAAGAAAAAGTCTGACACTAATCACTCATTGGTCATGAGTATTTGAGCATATTCCTCAAACAACTTTACTGATATTAATAACTTTAAAGTTGCAATGAGAAATGACAAATTTAAGTGACTCCTCAATTTTTACATGACTACATAAGGTGGCACTAGAATGTGAATGCAACAACTCTAAAGAACTAAATTTACATCACAGGTAACTGTAGCAAATATATCGTTGTTGTTGTTATGTGGCATTGGGTCAGACCTGACTCATAGCGACCCCTCCTTGGGTTTCCAATATATTAGATCTTCAAATTGTTTTTTAAATGAACTATGTTGCATCTCATTTAAAAATGTTATAGAATGTATGTGGCAAACTGGACAGAGGTCATCAGCAGTTCTAATGAACAGAAGAAAAATATCAGGTTGGTCTTCATCCACTGAGGCCAGTGGAAAACTATGATAAACAAAATAAATTAGGTCTCCCCAAATGGAGAAATAAAACTGTTGAGGATAGAGAAAAAGCTATCCCAGGAGCAAATATAAAATAATCATCTGCTGATAAACTTCAGCCCCAGGGTTACAGGTGAGGAGAGACAACTCAGGGACGCCCAAAGTAGCA